CTTGCAGAAGACGTCGCCCTTTCTTGGGCATACTGTGAGCAAATCGTCATGCTAACACATATAACGATTGCCTGAAGCCGTTTTGAGAGTTGCTATGTATTATTATAAGCCTAAAATATGCATATTTTATATCGAATTATTAATATATATGAACTATTTTCCAATCTTTTTAAAGTTCGATGTATCCGGGATCGACTGTCGTAGTAGGAAAAATCAGTGTCAGGAGTCTCGCTTCTAATTTTTCCGCCAAAATCTTTGATAATCCCATGACTGTCTTCCTGGTGCTTTTTCTCAATTTGGCTGCATTGGCTCGAAATTTTTTGATGACTTTCCTGCGAGACAGTGGGCTGAGTGACATTTGGTGACTGACCCCTATAATTTAAGAGATGCTCGGGTGGAACAATTGCTGGCCTTTTAGGCCAGGCTAACCCTACCTTTGTAACATCACAACCACCACCACCACCCATCTGAAACTAATGCATTACGTCTCTGGCTCCCTAGGGAGACAATGTACTTCATTTTTACAAACAACAACAAAGGCAATAGTAGACACCGTCAAAATTTGTAACATCATGGCACCTGGTGCGGGAACTTAAATGTGGCGTCGCCACCCACATTTTCTTTTCGTGCATGTTCTTGCTTGCCAAATGTGTTTAGGAGCAACACTGGTTGTGGGCCAGATTGTGAGTGCAGGGCAGCCAGACGCACAAAGTAGGCACCCTGAAACACAGACCCCGGGGCACTGTCACACGATACAGAATGGACATGAGACATGCACAATACAGACATAATCATGATTTAGTCAGTTCAAATGCACCGGCAGTCAAATACACTCACTTGCAGTCAGTCTGTGGTTTGTCAGTCATGGAAGCGTTGGTTCGTGGACTTGGATCCTAGCAAAGCAGAAGAGGCGGGGGCTTGCCTTGGTGGTGCCAACAGTGTTGCTCAGGTCAACACTGGGACATGGCCAGTTCACTCGCAGAATGTGCGAGCATGGTGAAAGTCACGTGACATGGTGCCGGGACCTAAGGCAGTCTCAGGATTGCATCAGCAGGATTGGGTTGTAGCCCAGGCTCGAGAACAGCACCAGGACATGGGCCAACTCCTGGAACATCGGGACGAGGTCCATGCACAGAAATGGGGCAGCAGTCGCAAGAGCCGGGGCCAGGCCCAGGGCGCAATCTGCTCCCGTCGAGTCTCAGCTGTCCTGTGTTGTTTGATGAGCTGCTTCAGCCCATTGCTCAAGCTGATCTCTCGTGACACCAACACCCCCATTGTTGCGCTTCTGCAGCATCACACACTGATCACCACGTAAAGCCTGCACATTTCAAACGTCAGCCCCGAATGTTAGACATGAAACAGACCACGACGTACAGACACTGTCCTCCTAGCGCAGTAGCATTTTGGTGTCATAAGAGAGTAATTTACCGATATGAAAAAAATTGTTTTTCTATATATGTATGTAAAGTTCCTTTAAGGTATAGTGTGCACTGAGCCCACACTCATGTTGACATGATGCATCATTCGTTTCTCTATGATCTGGCAATCTGAGAGCACCAAAGCCTTCTTGGTTTATGCAGCAGTTTAGGATTGATCACCAAGTGACACTTGATTGTCCAGGCTTAGACTTGTAGAATGGCACTGAAACAGTCTGCTGGGTCTTACTACTATTTTGTAAGCTGGCTCATGGTCGCCAAACACCAGAATCAGCTCAGCGTGGATGACCTAGCAGTTCTATTCTTTCAAATTGAAAATGTAGATCGCTGCTCATGCTTCATTTTCTCCCATGGATGCCATAGTTCTAGTTTTGATGTTGGGGCAATGTCCCCTGGTACTATACAACGTAAATGTTCATTATCAGCCTGATTACGCCCACTGCAGGCCTCTCTCATGTTCTGCCAGTCAACTTGGTCCTGTGCTTGCTGCTGTCAATTTATACCCGCAAACTTCCTAATCTCATCTCCCTACTTAACTTTCTGTCTACCCCTCGCCCACTTACCTTCTCTGGGAATCTAGTCAGTTACCCTGAATGACCAGCGGTTGTCCTGCCTACGTGCTACATGCCCGGCCCATGTCCATTTCTTCTTCTTGATTTCTTAACCATCGCTGAGTAACTCTGAACGAATTGCTATTTATGATTACTGAACTGGACAAGGAGGGCAGAAAGGTAGGTTTCAGAATTATTCTGCAGAAAACGAATGTAATGTACAACAATCTCGCAAGAGAATAGTGCTTCGCGATAGGCAGCAGCGCACTTGAAGTTGTAAAAGAGTGCGTCTACTTAGGACAGGTAGTAACCGCGGAGCCGAATCACAAGGTTCAAGTAACTAGGCGAATAAGAATGGGGTGTAGCACAGTCGTCAAGCATTCACAAATCGTGACTGGTAGATTGCCACTATCCCTCAAAAGTAAGATCTATAACAGCTGCATCTCGCCTATACTTACCTACGGAGCAGAAACCTAGAGGCTTACGAAGAGGGTTCAGCCTAAATTGAGGATGACGCAGCAAGCGATGGAAAGGAACATGGCAGGTGTAACCTTAAAGGGCCCGTAAACCACCCAGAGGTTGAAATTCAGTTGTTGTGACGAAATTGAGCATGAGTGTACGAGGAACACGGTGCCGTGAGAATTTTTCGAAATGGTGCAGTAATAGCGGAGTTAGGCACGTTTGATTATCGAAACCGTGAAGACCACACTTTTCGCTCTTTCCTGCACTTCCCCCTTGCTGGCATCCTCTCCCACACCACTTTTCCCTCTCGCCGAGCGCCCCTCCTAATCTCGCGTGGCATACACCATCGCTGACGCTCTGCTTGAAACACCGTCTACTTCCGATTGCCGCGACGTTAACCGTCAACTCCGTCAGTTGTGTGCTTGTTGGGGAACCGTGGCTGTTGTAATCGTGCTGGTATGGAACTTAGCTGCGTTGCGCACATGCCTTCAAAGGGTTGCCAACGCGATGGACCCGTACGGGCACACGCCGTGCACCGCATGTGTTACTTTATTTATTTATTTCAATATACTGCAGACCTTTTCGGTCCAAGCAGGAGTTGTAATTCAGAAAATTATTACAATGCCGTCTAAAGTGACAATCTCATTAAAAACAAAACAGAAAAATCAGTTCAATCCTGGATGATTGTTAAGTTTCAAAGATACAGAGTTTATATCACATGCGAGCATAATACAAAAATGTAATACACTTACCAGAACAAAAAATATCGCTGATTTCTTGAGCAAAAGATTCTACCATTTCACAGTTCACCACAGATGATGGTAGACTATTCCAGTATGCTATTGATGATGGGAAAACAGCTTTTATGAATGTCATTGTGACTTTTAAGCAGCCGTATTGTCTTGTGGTTAGTTCTTGAGGAGTGTCCGAGGGGTTGAAGGAGACGTTCTGTTCCAGATATTTTATAATGCTCATTATACAAATGATACAAAAATTTAAGTTTGGAAATTATTCTGCGTTGATCAAAACAACACAGCTCGGCTTTTTTTATGCAAAGCTGTAACACTTGTATTCCGGGAATAACTTGAGAACACAAATCGGACTGCTAAACTTTGAACTCGCTCAATTTTTTTTATGAGAAACTTGTGATGGGGACACCAAATTATGCCTGCATATTCTAGTGCTGGTCTGATTAGTGTCTTATACGTGGTTAGTTTAACCTCACGAGGCGCGTTCCTTAGTCTTCTCTTGAGAAAGACAGCTTTCTTAGCGCTTTTGCACAAATAGCTGCTATATGTGGTTCCCAATTGAGATTGGATGTTAATGTCCCAAGTATTTTACATGTTTACTTTTCGTTATTTCCAAATTTCCTAATTTGTATGTGAAATTAAGAGGCTTTTTTTTGTTTGTAAAACTTATGCCTACCGTTTTCCTTGCGTTCAATGTCATTTCCCATTCCGAGCACCATGCCTGAATTTTTCGTAGCGAGTGATCAAGGTGAAGCTGGTCCTCAATTTGACTTACCGTCGTGTATACGACGCAGTCATCTGCGAAAAGCCTTATTTGAATAGATTGGTTGACGCAAAAAGAAATGTCATTAATATAGATAAGAAATAGAATTGGCGCTAATACGGATCCTTGTGGTACACCCGACAAGACGTCTAGGCTGCTTGCGATATTGTTGTTCACGGAAACGCATCGTTTGCGATTTTTTAAGTATGACATTACCCACTGTATAACATTACGTTCAATACCGATTGCTTGCATTTTCATTATGAAGTCATGGTGGGGAACGACATCAAAGGCTTTTGCAAAGTACCAGAAAAACGGCATTCTATTTGTCCTGCTTGTGTTGAGTGTATTGCAATGTCGTTAGTCATCTCGGCTAGCTGTGTAATTGTTGACAGGCCAGATGTAAATCCGTGTTGTCTAGAGTAGAGCAAGTTGTTAGCCTCTAAGTGAGTTATAATACCTTACACGCATGCAGGCAACACGATGAACAACAAGCAGCGCGGACAGCTGCTTGCAAGACTGACCGGAAGTCGTAGGCTCTTGCTCGACAGCATATTTGGCATGTTTGACTCGGTGCACCAGAGATGTGGCATGCGTGTCACTGCAGAAGCCCGAAAGGTCCGGATAGGATGAGGAATTGTTTCTTGGAATGTGTAGCATGCCTGGCGGCTCGTAGCGCGGCCATGAGCAGAATCGTTGATCGCGACGGTATTCTGTGCACAATGCGCGTGTTTACTTGAACTGCTTGAAAAAATATTGGACATGATTTACGGGTTTTTTAAGAGACAAAAAGTGGGCAGATGGTGTCAAGGAACAAACCAGGGGTTAGGGATATCATAGTTGAAATCTCACATACTAGTCTGCTAAAATTAGAGATGTATGCACATTTTAATACCTGCTGTATGTGGCTGTGATGTATGCACAATACAATCCCTTGCAGAGCACCCTATACAGCAGCTAATGTGATTAGTTTCATTGAGATGGTAATGTTGCCACTTATTGTTCTGAAATTTTATAGTGCCCCTTTTTTTTAATGCAGATGCTGACATTGGTGCTGCCAACAAAAAGCCAAGATCTACTGCAACTTCTGTGTAAGTTTGTTTTAATGTTCTTTCTTCTTTGTTCTCAAAGCAAAATGCCTTACATTTATTGAGGACTGTCGTAATCAAAAGGCACTATTTGCAACAAGTTTTTCATACTGTGAAGTCTTTTTGCTGCGTTCGCTCATGATGTGTCCATGGTGAGGAATATCAGAATGTTGTTTCCAGCTCACAATGTATCTTAGTGCTAAGTCATGAGTCTGAGTGGACAGGACTATATTGTAATTACTAATTTGTGGTTGTAATAGAGTACTTTTGACTCTCTCCTTCTGGTTTGTTGTATTGTAGTTTCACTCTAATAACTATTGTCTCAGCTTACATCATAGCTTTACCCCTGTTGATAGGCTTGCAAGGCACAAGAGCTTAAAATATTTTATGTTTGGCTGCGTGCATCTTGTGTGTATTGTGCTATGGCTGCAGTTATTTATACATGCTAAACCATGCTTAACAATTTTTGCTTGGTCACAGGCATGGCAAGCCAACACTATCCAAGGACAGCGAGTCCCACGGAAGTGTTAGCTCCAGAAGATCAAACAAGAGCCTACAAGAGACAAAGGAAAACAGCAGTGCTGAAACAAAGCAAATTTATGCAACACGCGCCAAGTCATCGATGGTTTCTGCCAGCAGTACTGCTGAAAATATGTCGATGGCTTCATCGAGACAGGAGCTTCGTTCAAACTCTTCGGAAGCTCCTATGGAGGTAGAAATGCAGTCTTATGAAGCGAGCGCTAGCAGACACTTGCAAGACAGCAGTGAAAATCACGCTGAAAAAGTGCAAGATTGGCTTCAAAAGTGTGACAGTGTTCCTCAAAAAAACACACCTTCAGGACTCGAAAGGTCTGAAGCGCAGGAGAGCTGCAGTGGCCCTGCTGAAAAACAACTTGGTTCGAACCGCTTCTTCACCTCAGCTAATCAAGCATGTATTGTTTCAGGGAAGAGAAATTCAGTACTTGATGTTTCAGACACTGATCCATACAAGTTCATCCCAAGCCAAAAGTCTCTGCAAGCTGTACGGCGTGGAAAAAGACGGCTCCGAGGGAATGGTCGAGCAGCAGGCCTAGGGGCTAAGCGAATGTCACGAAGAAAGTCCGACCAGCAGAAGTCTGTTTGCGAATTTGAGAACTTGAGAGACCTGTATGCAGAGGAGAAGGCTCAAGAAGAGGACGATGCCAGAGAGCTTGAGATAGAGCTATTTGTGACTCCTGGTGTCAGGCCTTGCGTAGAAAAAAAGGTGATCAATCAGAGAAGGTCCCTCACAACAACGAGGAGGCGGTCCCGGAAAATTAAGAGCAACTTGCAGCTTAAGCCACTTGAAGAGCAGGTAGCGGAACTGCAAAAAAATATTTCGGAAGCCGAGGGCCATGAGCTTGTTATCGCCAATGCTTTGCCAGGAAATATGGTGAGCAAGCGGGCTGAACATATTAGAAACACTAGTGCTTTGAAGGATGTTTCGAACCTGAAAGCCCAGGCAGAAAATAAGGTGCAAAATGTTGTCATATCAGCTTTGTCCATGTCGTCAAGTGAAGAAGAAAACCTACCTCAGCAACTTTCTTCTGGGGTTGACAAGCCAATGTCCTGCCAGCGAGAGAAAACCGACGCAGTACTGCACTCAAAAACAAGTGCCGAACCAGTGAAAGAAAAGGGAATTGTTGACCTGTGTTTTGATGACGAAGGAGGGGTGGGCGCAGCTGCTGAGAAATGCAAGGGATACCCCGCAAGAAGGTGTACTTGGCGATGTGATACCTGGCGGGAAGTTTGCCTGCAATGATGCACAAGAAAATGCAACCCTCTCACAGTGGATCCCCTGCTGATGCTCCAAAGCGATTTGGGATCTAAAGGTGCCAAACCGAGCGATAGTACTCTGGAAGAACGATGCCAGGAGAACAGTCAGTCAGAGGAGCAGAGTTGTGGTCATCGTCCACTATCTTTGAAGGACTTCGAAGGATTCTTCAAGAAGTCGAGCAGAAAAACATTTGACATCAATGCCAGCACACAGGACTTGGAATCGCTTGGTAGCGGTGCGGTGGACACCCTTGAGTTGATGACAGATGTCTGCAATAGCCTGAAGCAGGTTCAAGCCAGTGAACCAGATCTAGCCCCAGTGTATGAGGAGCCAGGATCTATGATGGTGCCCACCAACCATGGAGCTAACCACCAGGTCAGTGTACCACATGAAGGGGATACGTTACTACCTCGCAAAACTAGCAGAGTAGACCAGTACTCCCCCTGTTCCAGTGACAGCATACACAAAAGCAAAGATCATCAGCATTCACCTTCAACCACCAGTTGTCCTGCCTCAACGATTGTTCCGGCAGTTGAACCAGCTGTCGAGGATGGTAGCTGTAATACCTGTCACGTGACCAATGCCAATGTAGCTTGTCCAGCTTGTAACGCACAACTCTCTTTGGTGTGTGGGGATGGCGTCATCAAAGTGGTACTGAAAGGACAGCCACAACGGCCAGTCCTCATAGAAACTGGAATGTGCACCGAAAGACCTTTCACCAAGGTCATCATTTGCAGAGAGGCTACAACTCAGACGGAAAGTTCAGATTCCAAGGAGCTTGAGCCTGGAAGCTGTGGTGACAGTTGTTCAAACTTACCATCACCTCACCTGCCAGTGGCAGCTCCTGATGCTGTACAAGCGCAAACTGCAATGATTGACAGTGGTGCTAGCGACAAAGTGCTCAACGGACAGACAAAGTATAGCCACATTTCAAACACTTCCATCTACATTGATGCCAGTTCTGCCTGTGTTGGCCTTCAAGGAGAACCGGTCACACATGGTCATGCAAAACTTGCAAAACCAACAGTTGAAAATGCTGTACTGAAAAGGAGAGAGGAAATTTTGGACTTGGACTACATGAATGAGAAGCCACGAAGCACAGAAGTATTGTGTGAAAATACAGAAGACCAGGGAGTCTTGCCAAGCCGACCGAACCTCTTTCGTGCATCACAATTCGGGCTCAGGACAATTGTCGAAGATACTGAAGAGATGGACACCACCCCACCAATTAAGTCAAAAGAAATTGACACATTGCAAAGTAGCCCTGTGCAGCACGAAGATAGTGCATCCAAGTGTGATGGGGTTGAAAAGCGGGAAATTCAGAGCGAGGCCCAGTGTTCCGCAGAGACATCCTTGTTACAGAGCCAGAATGAGGTGTTTTTGAGGCGAGAGGGCACAAAACTTTCCGATCTTGGAAGCAAGTGTCCAGAAAGCAGTCCCACGTCATGCCACACGAAAAGAGTGCTACCTCAATACAAACAGAGTACAGGCTTCAGTTCCCAGGCAGATCAAATGGAGACGTACAGTAATGACAGGGACCCTTGTAGTCGAGAAGCATGCTTTCAATCACAAAAGGGTAGACAGCACAGCATGCAAGAGGAGCGTGATGACCCGAACACTCCACCAAAGGAAGATACCTGTCACCATATTGCCGAGGCTCCTGCCTCGCATTTGCCTGATGTCACTAACGCTACATTGCCAGGAGCAACGTGTGACCAAGACATGAGTAGTTCTGTCACGCCTTCGTTTGCAACAGCCAACGATGAATCCGAAGTTCAGAAGGCTTCCTCGCCTCATGCACACATCAACCGTTCCCCAGAAAAAGTTGCTACCAGTGACAAGCCAGAGGCAGTCAGTCCAAACCAAGACGGCAGCCACACCTCGGCAGAGTCTTCGCCCTGGTCTTCTCCAATCCTGATTAGAAGGGTAGCTCCGCGTAGTGCACAAAACAAGGCTAAGAAGGCCTTGATGTCTAGTGACACAACATCTCGAGGAGATGATACAGACTCGTGTGAAGTCATTGAGGCGCCTTCCAAAGCTGGTTTGGGGCGTAAGTCTTCCAGGCAGATTCTGCCCAGTGTGGCCGCGGACAGTGACAGCGACAGTGATCCTGTGACAGAATCAGAGGCCCAAGAGCTCCTGAGGCATGCAGTGCTGGAAGGTGACAGTGAGGAAGCTGCTGTCATTTTCGCCAAGCGAGCTGTTGCTCCCCTTGAAGCATGTAAAAAGCCACGTGTGCCGCAGCTACAAGCATCGAAGAGGTCTGTCTGGTCTCCAGAGAAGTGCCACAGCACTCTGCGACCCACCCAAAAAGTGGGAACATCTTCCCAAGGTGCGTGAAAGAAACTGTTCAGTTGAAACATTGGAGGCATTGTGGAATAGAGTGATGAGGGGCACAGTACTACTTGGCTTATAAGGCCCCATGGCTCATCAACATTAGAACATTAGTAGATTTCTGCACTCATCAAGCATTAGAGGGGTGATAAAAGTTTAGGCCCGGCATGCTTTAATATTTTATTATCTTTAACATTAATTGTGCCGATTGGTACTATAGTTTCAGGTATATTTCATGAATTTAATTTACTTATTTTTTATTATCAGAAAATGATTCCAGCAAAAAGCTATGTCAGTACATGCTTACGCAAACTAAGTTGTAATGTTCATAATAATGTATGACTTGCTACACTTGAAACTTTATTCAGCGAAGTGATGACTGTGCTTGTATTATTATGTTAAATTGGAAATTTAGTAAAATACAGAAAGAAATTTTTAGTTTTTTTTTTTTAATTTCAACTAGTAGCATAGCGTCATTTGAAAGTATTGTGGCATTGTTTTTGCCGCTAATTCATGCCTGCATGTACGAAAAGTCTGTGTGGGTGGCGCGGGTGTGGCCTGGTCTGGGTGATGCAGACCAGAGACACAGCGGCACAAAGGTGCGACAGGCTGCTGACATGCAGTCATACAATGGCCCCAAGGTTTCACATGCTAAAACTATAATGTGCTTTTTAGTTATGTTGTAGCAAAGAGCTGTGCATAATTTCAACCACTTGGCATTCATTACATTGTATATAGTCCTATAAAATTTCACTTCTGCAGCTGACTGCCACCGCTGACCCCACGCAACATTCGGGTCACTAGCTGAGCATTGTAACCACTGCGCTTACATGGCGGCTGGGTTGCCTACATGCAACACCGGGAGAACGAGTTGAGTGATTGTGTTAGCGGGCCGAGCGAGAAAGCTTCAAGATGATCAGTGCTACATTTCATAAAAATCATAAAAAATTGAGAGTTGCCACTACTGCTCCTAGCACCATCTATAAAAGGCGTTGTCAACTGTGGAGTTCATTGTGCTTTGCATGGGTGCGGCATGCAGTCTCATTGAAATTAAGCTAGGACTATGACTAGAGCACCGCTCCGCCGCGGTGGTCTAGTGGCTAAGGTACTCGGCTGCTGGCACAGAAGTCGCGGGAACGAATCTTGGCTGCGGCGACTACATTTTCGGTGGAGCCGGAAATCTTGTAGGCCCGTGCGCTCGGATTTGGGTGCACGTTAAAGAACTCCAGGTGGTCGAAATTTCCGGAGCCCTCCACTACGGCGTCCCTCATAATCATATGGTGCTTTGGGACGTTATGTGGGCCACATATAAATCAATCATGTGACTAGAGCACCCAGATGTCTTAATGCGATAGTGTTGGAGCGCACACTCTGAAAGCTCATTTGTGTTTAAACTAAAGGTACCACTTTTTTATGTGGCTATTTTAAAAAGAAGACTGATGAATTGGGTTTTGTGGGCAAGTTAGTTTCGTTAATTCATGTTGGTGACAATATTGGACCTTATGGGCATCTGCTTAGGAATAGAAATGCGTTTCATTATGTCAAGAACTTCGCGAAATCTGGTTTTCTTAGATCGAATTTTAGGTGTGTATAAAACTTCTTACTAAACCTGTTGGTAGAGTTGGTGAGCATGTTTATAGTAGTATCAGCCTGCAGAAGTCATGAGCTTGATTTTGCTGGCCGTGCCATTGGCTCAACAAACAACAATACGCAGCTCAGCAGTCTGTTTGCCATGTATGAAAACATTTACTGCTGTTTGACATTTGCTTTTGGTGTTTTCAGGGAAGCATCACAGTCTATGGAAGAAGCATGACAGCTCCGTAAATGATGGTAAGCAGCTGTTGTGCTGACGGCACGTTCTACACAAACTGTGCACACTTGTGTTATTTGTCACAAACTGCACGTCACATCTATATTAATTCTCTGTAGGTGACAACTCTGAGAACACTGGTGGACGCAGCCTAGCAACCACCCTATCAAGCACACTTTCAGAAGGTCTCGACAGAACACTGGTAAGAGACGCGTCTTGTTTTTACCCTTGCTTTGGTATTTTGGGGCCAGGCTGGTTACAACAGTCTCATTAATGATTTTGGTAGGGTTGGCTTGTACTTGCTTATTGCATCCATTTTTCATAGCAAATGAGCCCCGTTACAGGCTATGCAGAATCACATAGGGAGCCCATAAATGTTTTCACTAGAAAAAAACAGATTCATTACATTAGTTAGAGATAAATCATTTTAAATGCTGTCAAGCTGAGAAATGGGACGGCTCTTCTTTAGTGTCTAAAAAATGAAGTGCATTTCTGGTGAGGCAAGATTTTATTAGTATACATTTCCTGAAGAACTTTCTTTTTGTTCATTCTAAAGTTTTAAGGTACGTAGTTCAATTTTTCTGAACATGACAGCAATGGCCAGGGGATCTTGAAAGTGCATAAAAAGCAGGAAATGGAATCGCACTCTTTAACTGTAGTCAAGGTGAGAAGCAGATGGAGAGCATGTTTGGAACTTTTAATCCTACACCCAAGCTCTTTTAACAGGAACAAAAGTGTGCGCTAGTGGATGGTGTGGTAGACACTAGCCACATGCTGCCACTGCAGATTCCTGGAACCATGGGGAAAACGATGAATGTACACTTTAAAGAGCACTGATGCCAAAATTTTTTCTTTTCTTTTCTTTGTTATTTTTTTCCTTCTTGCGATGAGTAGCTTATGAGTCACTTATCATAGCTGGAAACCTTGTTTGCACGAGTGTGCGTCAGTTATTTATTGAGAGACGTTTTCAGAGCGCCCAGTATCAGTTTTGGTTTCAAAGAGCACCGAGCTGGACAGGAGCAGTTTCGGCGGCAAAGAACACAGCTGACCACATGACCACAAAAAACTGTGGCGTGGGCACCGCGTGAGAGCGTGTACAGGTGGCATAGGTCGGCGAATTCACTCAGACTCGGGTCGAGCCGTGAGTCTGTCTGAGTGAGTACAGTTAAAGAAAACTTTCATGAGTTTGAGTCCGAGCAAGTCTGGCTCAGAAAAATTGTGGTGAGCCTCCGTCAAAGCGAGTCCAAAGTGCAAGATACTATATTTTTTGAGCGAGTCTGAGTAAGTTAAACTGTTTTTGCCAGCTTATGGTCCTACCTACTCATCTTCAACATTACTATCTGCCCTTCTTGGAGTCATCTTTATACAGTTGTCTATTCACAGGTATTTCATAGGAGTATCGGTCATACAAAACGTCTTTACTCATCTGCAACCGCTCATCTCTTATTCTAAGGTAATATTTCAATAGGTGCTAAGAAGGTGAACCCAACTACATGAGACATTTGTGTTGAAGAGTATTGACACCGTGGTCGAACAAGCTATTTCTAGGCCGACGTACTTATGACATAAGGCAACTCACTCGGACTTGCTCAGACTCGGACCAAGCTGCAAGTCTGAGTCTTAGTGAGTCCAGCTCAGAGAAATGTCCGAGTTCAAGTGAGTTCAAAGTGTGAAGTATACATTCTTTGGGTGAGTATGAGTGAGTTGAACTTTTTGCTGACCTATGTCGAGCGCACGCCGCACTGACAGCCAGCACAGCCAGTACACATGAAGCCACAGGCACGGAGGAGCTAATACTAGCAGGTAGCACAAGCTCAAGGTGCATGCCAGCAACCATCTAACACAATTTCGTGACATAGGCTTGTTTACATTGTCCCTGCCTTTATGTCGGCGTTGCGAGGGGCTAAACTTCATGCTCAGTCACGTGGGGTGCATTTTAATATTTACTTTAAATACGTTCTAGGCTGTATTTGCCCTTGATATCTCGTAGATGTTGTGTATGTATCCACATAAATCTATCTCGCTCATTATCTTGCCGTTAAAATTTTGTGTCAGTGCTGCTTTAACTTCTAGCATCGCTGAAATATAAAATGTTCCTTGAACAGCAAGGGATGCACAAATTCTTCTTCGCAAAGTAGCATGCTAAGTTTATTTGAGTGACATTGTGTAGGTTGCAGCATTTCTTTTCTTCCAATTTTGTGCTCCGTTCCCCGTTCCGCTCAAATGCTCACTGTTACTGCAGCGAAAGTGTTTTCGGTTTTAGCTAAGCGTTGTTCGGTCAACGCAATGGCGACGCCACTGGTGCATGAAAGTTGTAGAGTAAAATAAAAATTGTTCTTATTTTGCAGAAAGGTAGAAAATTCTGTTTTAAAAGAGTGTGGCATCATTTACTGTTTGACGCATGAGAATTTTAAAATTTTTTGTCACCTTTACTTGGAGCTAGACTACAATCAGTCTTCAAGGCAGCCCAAACTTGTTTCAAATGCCCTGCTCTGAGGCAGCGCGATCACAGTGTTGCTTTGTGGCAAATCAAACTAAGTAGTGTTCCTGAATAGGTAGAAGGGTGGCTGTTAATTGTTACTGCTAACTAAATTGTTACTATCGTTACATAGAATCGCTTACTATCGAAGATTCGCTAAGTCCCTTTGACGAAAGTACCAAAAAAGCATCTCGAGACGCTTCTTTATGGTCTAGAGTGTCAGCTCTAGATCGTTTCGTGGAACTTCACCCCACATGCACGGATTCTCGAAGGGATTAGCTGCGATGACTTTTCAGAGGAGTCGCAGATCCTTGTGTGTCTAAAGTGCTGTCGGTGCTTGCGTGTTTGCCGAACAACCACTGCGTTTCCCGAGCAGCGCAGGCTCGTGGCATAACAAGCTGACATTTTGGCCGTTTTTCCTCACGTCACGTGATTCTTCGCTCGCTATGACGGTCCGCTCACATGCTCTGTACCTGACCGTCTAGCGCATGCACAATGGCGCAACCATCAACTAGCTGAGCGGAGCGGGAGGCAAAATACAGTCAGTTAAAAGTGCCTAATGTCGCCTATCACCTCCAAACCTGCTTTGCTCTAAACTTGCTTGATATGTGCCTCTGTGTGCCTTGGTTATCTGTGGTTAACATCTTATGTACCTTCGAACCTTTTGTCTGCTCTACAGAAGGAGAAGATGCTAGAACAAGACATTGCAGACATGAAAAAGCAGATGATGATGCTGGAGAATGAGCTGCAGAAAACTACTGCCGGCAAAGGAAGAAACGACAACCCCAACAATAATTCAGCTGCCAACAACACTGTGGTTGCAATGAATGGTGAGTCATTGCAATAACTTTCTAGTCCAGTGGCAATGTAGAGGAGATGAAAGCGCAAATGCTTGCGTTTTGAATCTGTATGTTTTGGGTCGAATGAAAGGAATAGGATAACGCACATTCCTCACATTTTAGGAATCTGATATTGTGCAAAGAGTTTCACTGGTAGTTGTTGGCTGCCCAGCATTGTTTGGTGTTCCACAGGGAACAAGTGGGCTAGCCTGTAGGGGCTGAAATATTTTCTGAACCGCAGATTCGAATGGGTGATCGCACGTTCCGCAGCGCGTGGCATTAGATGGCTCGGACACGAACGTGTACATTTTACATAGGCTTGTGCGAATTATGAATTTCAGGTTCAAAGCAAATAGTGGTTTTAGTCAAATAATTTCTAATCAAATTCGAATAGTATATATCACTTACCGTACTACTAAAACAAGGCGGGGGGGGGGGGGGACATATTTCTCGTAACCCCTCGCTAACTTGCACAATATTTTTTAAAAATTCAAACAAGGCCAGTGCAAATGTAATTTTTTCGTGTTGAAAGCAGAAATAAGTTCGATAGTAGCAGGATTTTACTTGCAGTAGAATGCAAGTGATAACCTCTAATATATATATGTTACATTTTAAAATTTACTATACTTAGAGCATGTAAGGCAAGCTTTTAAACTTTAAAAAAAAAAAACGATGAAGCGATTTGACGGTAATATGTTCGTGCATTTTTTCTGGATAGGTGCTTTCACGGCTTAGCACCTTACTGCGGTGAAACCACTTTTACAGGTAAAACGAAGATTTGGGTTACTTGGTTTTGCATTATAAAGTAGGAAGAGCGCGCTATTCTAAACGGAGTCGCACACAAGACAGTGTTGTTTCATAGGCATATCAGCCGGGGGGGGGGGGGGGGGGAGGGCCAGGGGGCGCAAGCCCCCCCACTTTCGACAGTGGTCACTCTTGGCTGCACGCTGGAGAAACCGAGAAGGGGAAGTTTTTCGTCGCAACAGTAATCACTCAATCATGTTCTTACGGAAGAATGAAAATGTTAAGAGGCAATGTCACAGCATAGCGAAATTTCGCCATCATTTCTACTGTATTTTCCTTGTAGGCTCCATGCGGTGCGGGTCGCCAGTGCGATGCTTTCGCGTCTTGTGCTGTAGTATTGCCGAGCTGGCAAGTGCCGAACAGGGGCCTTCTAATACATGACTTATTCATGGTTTTATTTCTGACTTGTCGATGCAGTTACAAATGAGTTTGAGTAAACTTTCTATGAACCGGTCAAAGCAATTGCTGCTTCCGGAAGATAATTTTCTTAGAAAAATATATATCGGCAAAACTGCTGTGTTGAAGCTGCTGCAAGCTGATTAGTGGGACGAGTCGTTTTTGATGTTTAAGCTTTTCCGTACTGAAACGCCAAAAATTGTTTCTGGTTTAGTCTCTGATAAACCTGATTAGCCTTGCGTATGGTAACTTGGAGCCATAGTGGCAACTTGCAAAGAGGCCACGAATAGAGCAGTGGACTAGAGCTCAGTAGGAAGCTCAGCTTTTAAGCCTGCCCCACAACTTGACCCACCGGACCAGGGAGAAAGAAGGCGAAAGGCCGTGGTTTTTAGCACTATGGAGGCTTAGCTAAGAATCGAAGTAGTTGGTTTTCGCTCAACTTCAATTGTGCTCTACAGCTCAAAATACATCTCGGAGAACAAGGAAGCACACAGGGGCTGCGCTGCTTATTTCTCTCTATTCTTCTTTCTCTCAGCAAGTGTGAGCTCACAGAGATGTATATGCTGACAAACTACTAAACGCCATTATGCCGCAAGTGGATATTTTTTTATTAAACTCAAAATGCAGCTAGCCTACTTAAATTACATTTAGAAGGAGATGCTTTCCGGCTAACAAGCAAGCGATCTTGTGGCACCAAGAGAATTTTAAATGCCGAGGAACCAATGGCAAACAATATGCCTTATCAAAAATAGTTAATTTTCTTATTTTTTAGGTGGTCATACATATGTGGTCATACATATGTGATCATTGCGCGATGGATCACTTTCACGTAATTTGTTGCCTCGCGTAACAAGCTGGTGCTGTGTGCATGAGAAAGACTGTTTACACCAATCATATAATACAGCTAATGATCATTTCAAAAGGAAGCAATGAGGGTTAGTTTAACGTTATAATCTCCCACATTTTGTTCCTTCAAAGGAAAATTTTGTTTACACCATTTGTATCGGCGTATTTAGAGGTGCCTGTGGGCCCGGTAAAGAATTTTAATACAAATACTATGAGCGTAAACAACACCACCCTAACGCCCCTAACACCACCAATTATACATTATGGTTCAGAAGTTCATAATTAGTTATTAACTGAAATATAACAATAGCAATATTATTAATAACTGCATGCTCCAGAAAGAGTGTTCAGACTATTAGCAAATAAGGCCAATTATAGTACAGACACGCCTGAATATATCCCAGAAAGTGTAATACTTATGAAAAAATACAACAGCAATCATTCGTTGAAAAAACATGGGTGATCTCTTCGTCATGGGAATTGGCCTATAACACGAAAATAAAACACTCATTTACATGGGTAATTAAATGTTTACTGTACAACTATAAAAGAAGGTTTGCCGAATGTATGTTTTGGTGTTTGGCAGCTTTAGCCCCGTTCAATGTGGATGTATCCTCGTTGACGCTTGGTAGATCTTCATACCGACGACTAACATCCATGATAAATTTGTTAAACAAACTATTATGGTATCTCTACATGTCAACCGCCAATGCATAATCAGAGAAAAAGGCCTGATAGAAACATGAGCGTCGCATTTTGGACACGGAAATTGGGCTAAGGGCGCCATTCTTCGGCCTGTTAAAGTGTGATTGAACTTTATGGTATCTATGAATGCACGTCGGTGTATCCAAATTTATATCAATGTGCCAATGCACCGATGAAGTTCTCTCTTCCTATATATATATATATATATATATATATATATATATATATATATATTGTAGTCAAGTAGATCCTCCGTGAGCTGTCACAATGTGGTTTATTTCAACATTTTAGCCAGAGTCTGGCCTTCCTCAGAATTGAGAGTACAGTTTGTTGGTGCTCAGCTACATACAATCTTATACATTGTATGTAGCTGAGCACCAACAAACTGTACCCTCAATATAAACCACGTTGTGACTGCTCACGGAGGATCTGCTTGACTATACATATATATACTACACACACACACGCACGCACCCACACAAACACACACACACACTGGCTGACGAGTGAGGTAAGTTTGCCCCCACCCACCCACTCGTGAAAGAGTTGGTACACCACTACAGTGCTTGTATGTGACGCTTCTTTTCGTGTCCCTATGTAGAATATCGCTCTGTTTCTACTTCACAACAGTTTACAGGTGATTACATGCAAACTAATATCCACTTGAATTGAGCTTTTACTGCTTAGCACCCCGCCACTTCCGTGAAACCGCTTTCACAGGAGATTACACTCGGACTAATATACCCTTATTCGTTCATTGCAAATATTTCGACATTGTCGATAATTTAAGTTCAAATCCGATTGGAATGCTATAATATTCATTACTATAATAGTTTGCCGAGTGATGACAATGCCGTGCTGCGGCTCTTGCGGCAGAGGGCGCAGATGAGTTGGCCTGTTTCACCGACAGCGGCAGTACGCGTGAAGATGCGTTTTTCGGTTGGTTAGGGGAATGTTGGCGCTGTGCTGTGAGTTTGGCATGCTGAACCGAGAGGCTTGCTTTGCGGAGCTGCATTACTGCAGTGGTAAAAGCAACCCCACGAAAGTGAAAGCAGAGTCTGAAGTATTGCTGCATGCCATGACAGTGCTGATAGCACCAAGTCATGCAAGCCACCTACAAAACTATCGGTTCCTGGAGAAGTCGTACGAGAAAGAAAGAACACAGGCGTGGATCACCGCAGTTAAAGAATAAGTAAGTTCTAGCTCTGCCTCTTCTTCCATTTTGATTGTTTAAATTCATCGCTTGAAATCGTTTGTTTCAACTACCTGAATCAGTACGTAACGCGGCGTCCACACTACGACTGCAGTAATGATTACTTGCTGTCTCCCCGAAATGTGCGAGCACAGTTATGGTTGTAAGTTAAACCAACTTCTTGTGTTTTAATTCCTTGTGTTTGTAAGACATAGCTGTCATTGGATTTTCGCACTTGTATACGTCATAGCGAAGTTAGCGTTATGTTGTTGGTTGCTTTCAACTGAAGTCCGCACATTTTCAAAGGCTGCTGCCTGCAATTCATGCATTGGGAGGGCTGCATCATCATTCCAGAACTAACATCTGTGCATTTTCAGCAAACTTTGACATCGTTTTACTGGTTTGTTGTAGTTTTGTCACATTAAGGGTGATAGTTCTACAAGCCGCTAGATCTAGCTGGCACTTTAATTCATAGATTATAATTCTCACTTTCAGAGATGTGCGGTTTTCTTTCACGTGTGTGCGCGTCATGCTCTGTACAGTGCTTTGAGTGCGCGTTTATATGTGCGCTAATTGCACAACTTCGTCGCGCGCCTAATATCACATTGTGCCTGAAATTCAGCTCCTATCACACAGTCAATATTTTCATAAAATGAGAGTGCAAGTAGAATGTGAGAACAATAAAAGAGACGGGTAGTTCAACTTGCTTTGCAGCAGTTAAAGGGCCAGTAAACAGGCTCAGACTTTTTTTTTCTTACACTCCACAAAGAAGCTTGCCAATTCGTACAGGAGACTGGGGCGATCACCCTTCATTTCGAAAAACAATTTCACCCCTGTTTCGCTTGCCCGACCGATCCCCCTCGAACGTGCAGTCTGATGAAAGTTTGCCCACGGGCAATATTACGCATCAGTTAGCTCGTTGATTGATTCTTTGCCCTACGAAATGGCACCTTGGCCCTGCAGTGATGCACTTTCAGCTGCGCAGTCCGCATTTTCTTTTTTTTGTGCTGCCCCCTGCCGTTTTGTAGAAACCTAGACTCCATGAGAA